CAAAGTTCGACCTCATCATGGACCTCCAGCCACTTTCGATGAGGACCCCTTCCGCAATGAATAGGAAATGCATCCGGACGCTATTAGCAGGTAAGTGTAGCAAACATCTGGACGCAGCATACGCTCCATGAATGGCCACCTGAATGGAAATGGGTGTAGCAGAAAGAACTCCGATAGAAACAGCATGCATCACTGACCAAGACCGAGAAGCGCACGTGACGACGTGCAGAAATTTCATTCCTGCGACCGTATAGACAGGATATTCCCTAGTTGATCACCAGTGCAGATGAGTCAAGAGTCCACCACGATAACAACACGCGGCACGCCTGGTGGCTACCTCGCAGCCTGGACCCACCATCTCAACCAAAGCCCGAGCTCTTTCATCAGAGGATGTTACCCCTGTTTGTTGGATTCGCTGGGTATCCCGTTTTGAGAACCGCTTCACTTTATGCAGACAAGCATTGCGAAGGTAACCATGGAATAACTCCCAAGATGGCCGTCGCAGTGCGGGAGAACGGTTCGAAACGTCTCAAAATCTCCTTCCTCCAAATGAAAGCCCGGCCTCAAATTGCAAGGATAGCTCGCCATGTTTTGAGGGGAACTGGCTGGACCACGATACCACATCTGACGTATAGCCCTGACATTGCTCCATCGTACTATCTCCTCCCCAGCGCCTGAAGCAGCAGCTACGAGAGAAAAAGTCAGTGAATACAACCACCCCAAAACGACCTCTCCGAACTCTTCATCCACAGCTTCACTCGTTCTGGGAGGAATGCATCCATTCGTTCCCTAGCAAATGGATGCATATCAGTGATTATGATGGTGGTTATATTTTTGATCAATTGTTTTTAGGAAAAGGAAAACTTGAAGAAATCAAAGTGTTGAAATTCGGCCAGAAATCGGGTCAGCCCAATATATAAACATCAAGATCAGAAAATAAAAAAAATGAATAAAAAATCCATTTTGTAGACTACAGAAATCTTTCAAAAGCAATAAATCGGAGAAGAACCTCTTATGTTAGAAGTACAAACCTCGAACATATACTCAAGCTTCCCCACCTACGTGTAATTGTAAGGTAGAACGAAAATGCGAAGAGAGTCCTCGAAGAAAGATTAATGCGCAATGGTTCGATGCACACTGCCTATCGTAGAGTATTTCGCACGAGTTCGCGGTATATTGTCGTGGAATGGCCACATTCCACGACAATATCAACCACTGCGCATTAATCTTACAATACTCTGCAGAGACAACTCATTGTCAAGGCGCCCATGGCACGACACCGTTGAATTGCCGCAATTACGCTTTCAAATATGTGGTAAACATGAAAGGACTTTGTTTTGGCGTGACTTTCTCCGTTAGCGGGAATATCTACGATGTCGTTGCTATTTAAAATAACTTTCATAAGCCTATCGTATAGATTTATGCCGTTCTGTATCAGCTGCGCTCGCTCTGCAGCCCATACTGCGAACATGGGTGTGGGTACTTAGGACAGAACGCGACTTTTTCGCTCTCATCGCAACGCGACATCGCGCGGCAGGCTGGCGCACCCGTAGCGAAAACAACTACGGTATATAAGAACGCGCGATTGGAGCAGCTTTTTTGCATGCGTGAATTTGTAAGTTTCTGATTCCTTACTTGCCCGCGCTCACACCCATTGTATTGATAAATGCGGTGAATCACTAATTCTGTCTCATTATTGAAAACGTTTTGTGACTTACACGATTCCGGGCGATGCCACACAAATGGTGTTTTACGAATTATCGGTGAACGAGGGTTTAATAGTGTCGCTTGTGCTTGCATTTTGTGGGTTCATATTGTTGTATAGACATCTGCATAAGGGTATAACATCTTTTACGGAACGCTTCTGTCCTCATCACGGATATGATACTCAT